AAATACACAGAGAGAGGATGCAACTAAATTTTTGTTTTCTAATTATGCTTCATTTACTTATTCACCCTTAGGCAGTAGAAAGAATCCAAATAGAAATCCTGAAAAGCAAGTTACATGTGTTTCAAATGTTCGCTAATATATAAAGTTGAAAAAAGGAAAAAAATTTAAATAGATCACACTTTCTTAGGCGAACAGCAGGAAAGAAGCATGAAAAACTCTGAATGACTTGGGATATAATTTACCAATTACATGTAGTACTTTAACATTTTCATTAAGCACTCCCAAAGTTCAACAGCAACAATAGCACACTCATAACCCATTTAAAAAGGAGGGGTATGATGAAAAGACAATTCCTCAAAAATGACTAAATATGGCAAGCAGTGTCCCTCAAAGCATTACCAGATTGACCCTTGCACAGAAGCCCAAAAAATCAAAACAAAGTCCAACAATAACATATGACTTCACAACAGTATGAATGGTCTATGTAAAAAATCTGGAAACAATAATCTTTAGTGGGAATGTGGCAAAAAAGGAATTCACTTACTTCTAGAAGTACTGTTCAGCTAATGGAAAATGGTTTGGAAACTTCTCAAATTAGGAATAAAACTTCTATGTGACACTGTATTCAAACTCATAAAAACACACACTAACACACTCATTCATCTGAAAGGACATATACACATTTATTTCATTCCAGCATGATTTACAACAGTCAAGATCTGGAAACAATTCAAGTGTCAAACAATATAGCAAATACAAAATTGTGATCTATATACACAATGGAATAATACATAACAATGAGAAGATCTGAAATCTGGTAGCTTGCTGCAACTTGGAGCAACTCATGCTAAATGAAATGACCAAGACAGGAAAAGACAACACTAAATGATCTTACTCATTCATATGCAGGGACTAAAGGAAAAATCAAGAGATAGGCAATCCCCAATGGAACTAACCCTGATATATTGAAGATAAGGTCAATATAAATGCATTCTAAAGGTTCTAAGTGGGATGAAGGGTCTTTAGAATAAAGATGCAGAGACCATGGGGTTCTGGTGGTGGACAGAATATAACAACATTGCCGATATAAAACAATAACATTGGTACTTTTGTAAAAAGCAAATAATTGACTTTGAAAGAAAATTTAAAAATACGGTTGTTTTTCTTTTCTCAGCAATTTTCAAGCAAGAAAATTGACCCAAATTTCTACTAGAATCCCTGTAACTAACATTCTGACCTCTCATTACATCTTATGATTTGTTCCAAATATTCTTAAAGAATTGTATTCTATGTGTTTTTGGATTTTTTTGCCACACCCAGCTTTGCTCAGTGGTAAGTCCTGGCTCTGTGCTCAGGTATCACTTCTGGTGTTTTCCTGTGAGAATATATGTGGTACTGGGAATTAAACCTGTATCCATCACATCCAATGCAAGCTCCTTGCCTGCTGTACTATCTCTAGCCCTCCCAGACGTTTCTGTGGCTATAGATAATTTATTAATATACCCATTAATTTAATGTATGAGTTTCTTTTTTCTATTAATAATTGTAATCTATTTCTCTTCCCTTTAATTTTGGCTTGACTTTGACCAGTTCCTTTGACCAATAGTATAGGATACCAGAGATACATTTTCAGGAGGCCTAATGTTAAGAGGTTTGGTATATCTTCTACTGACTTAGAAGAGAGTTTCTAAATTATAACTAGGACTAAAAAATGTCAATAATAAAATATATTGAAACAGGAGTACACAGAAGTGCATAGGCCTTCTGTAAAAGGACCCAAAACTTGTTAATGAAGCCATTACGGGTGTTTTAGTCTAAACCAACATCACAACTGCATGCAACTGAATAAATGACTATAGTCAAAATTATCTATAGCACAGAATAACTCAAGATTACTAAGTGCAATAATAATTTGTTTCTTTTATTTGGAACTCAATAGTACCCAGGGCTTATTCCTTGGATTTGTTTTCAAAGATCATTCCTGGCAGTGTTTGGTGGATCATATACAGTGTAAGGGTAAAACTTGGGTTAGTTGTATGCAAGGTGGTGCCTTAACCACCATAATATACCTCCAGACCAAATAGGAAATAATTTAAAATATTTTAAAAATATTTAATGTCCCAAATTGGGGGATCATTAGGGAGTAATATATAATTAAAGTACATATTGTAATAAATGACTTTCCTACTCAATTCCTCAGTAACAATAAAAACTGAAGATGTTTATTAAATGACTCTTTTTCTCAATGTCTTATTTCTAATTATTTATATATATTTTTGGTGAGTTTGGGTCACATCTGGTTGTGCAGACACTCTATGCACAGGGATCACTCCTGGCAATGCTCAATGGTTACTTTTGGCTGTGCTCAGGTGGCACCAAGGATCAAATCAGGGTCAGAATCACACAAACAAGTGCCTTATCCTTTCTAGTATCTCTCAAACTTGAGATAAAGATTTCTGAAGATAGGAACATTGTCATTTTTCCTCTCCCTTGCATCTCAATCATTTATAATAGTGTCTACTATATTGCAGGTAAATTTAAGGAAGTGTTACTGAGATTACATCCATCAAGATTTTAGTCTGATTAACTTTTCTATTTTGACTACAGCAGTATGACATTTTTAAAGCTTTCATTAAGTGAAGCAAGATGAAGGGTTTATAGGAACTCCATAAAATTTGCAACAGTTATGTAAGACCATGTTTATCAAAAATTGATATATAGCCAGAGGGAGAGCTCAATTAGATGAATGCATATGTTGCCAGGCATCAAATGATCCTACAAGCACCACCTGGAGAGACAGCAAAGCAAAGAGCTATAAGAAACACCCATATATATGTGCATACATATATTTGTTTAATTGTGCATAGACCTTAATGTATATGTAAAAGTTATGTGACTTTCCAGCATGTTCCAAAGCATGAAAATAAATGACATATCAATGAGTCATAAAATCTCCAGGATTAATGTTCTGACCTCTCATTTTGTGTATACACATAAATATGTATGCAAAATATGCACACACATACATACATTTATCAATTCTTTAATGTCATTTATAACATTTCAATTTCCAGTTCCACATATTACAAAGTTCTAGTTACACTGCATCAAATATTCTGAAAGATTTCCAACTTTTCCATTCCGTAGGACCTTGACATATGCTATTATCTTTTTTTTACAACAATGGAATTTTATTTGATGAAAAACTTGAGTTCACAATCATTTAGTAAATAAAGAGCAAACACTTCATTTTCCTATCCCATAACTCTTAAGACAATAAAAGTAGTAAATAAATATCTGTGAACAGATTAAGAGTAAGGCAGACTGGATAATAAACCACCTCTGATGTGATATTCATATTCCCTGCATGTGACTCACTCTAAAAGAGTGATTCACTCAAAAAGGGTGAAACGGCACTGGCGACAACATATTAGGATGAAATTCAATGTTCATATCTTAATTCAAATAATCCCAATGATACTCATTTCTAGTTCACCATGGGCAGCAAATCATATACTTTTTACTGAAGGAATACTTTGATAGAAGCATTTAAGTTATATTGTGCATCACAACTATAAAAATGGCTTAAACAGTTCCATTTAACCACCATTTATAAAGTGCAACTATATAATAATTTGCATTTTGTCCAGGCCGTGACAAATATCAATCTAAACTGAAAGTATCCCAGCTGCCAATTTCCACAAGTTCTGAAAAGTTCTAGATATGTGAAAAAGGACTGTCCCCCATACAAATCACCAATTTCACAAACCAACTGGTAAATAAATACATTTATATAACTGGAACCTCAGGATTATAAGAGTTGTAGTCATTTAAAAAAACATTCAGCTACCTTTGGTATTTAAAAAAGCCTATACTGCAATATCCTAAACATTGTTATGTGCATCTCACAATGAAGATAGTGGTCTTGCAGTGCAGAATGAGGAGAGTTCAATGTCACCGTGAATAGTAGAGTACTATGGTTTCAAGGAAGATCATCACAGCATTGGATTCTGTGCATCAGGATTAAGGTAATTGTTACCTGAAGGAAGATGAATAGGGAGAATATATAGCTCATCCACTTGTGGATTCAGGTGCATGACTACCAGTTGGTCCTGGGGAATGACTGCAGCAGCTGCTACCAGGTTGGTAATAGATTTACTCTTTACACACTGAATGTCTACATGCCAACTCTTTCCTTCTTCCTTCTCCCAGGACATCTGAATAAAATGTCTTTGGACATAGCTGTAAATCACTTCGGGGTACCCCAACCCAGGCCTTTTCTTCACTTTCTCTTTGTAGGTAGGATAACCTTCTATGCCCAATCTAATCTTCTTAAGACCCCTCTCCTTCAAAACTGATTTGGCCACATCTCTGTTTTCAATGTACATGAAAAATTTATATAATTTTGTGCTATAAATAATTTGTGAATACTCTTCCCCCATCTGTGGTGGATACTCTTCATCCCAATCAACCACATCATCATCTGTAAACACCACTATGTGGCATTCTCATTCCCCACTCCGGGCACAAGCTATCATAAGTGGTAATATCATTTCTTCAAGGTAAAATTCAAACTGTCTACGAGCACCATCATTTGATAACTCATGCATTAGAGCACTGATATCTCTACATTTAACAATACTATATTCAAAAGAGTTACAAAGGTAGTCTCATGATTCTCTCAGCTCAGGAATAGATATGCCATCATGACAATGGATTATTCCTGTTTTATAGTAACACAAAATAGCTCGGAATACAGTGGAGCCAATTCCCTCTGCCACCTCATACTCTCCTTTCTCATTGAGTCGTATAAAGTTATGTTCTCTGCCAGATCCAAACATCCTGCCCAACATTGTATTTGGCTGTGCAGTAAAAATGGATGGATCTACAACAAATCTAGTGTTAGCCACTATTAGCATCACTCGTTCTAATGTTCTTAAATTATGAGCACCTTCTTTTACATTTTCATATATAAATACCATCTTCCAGAAGTTTTACTGCTACCATCGTAACTTGACTAACTACTATTTCTGCTACTGTTCCCGGCACTGCTACTGGAACCATTTGGAGATGCTTTTTGAGGACAACAACTACTTGGGCGAAAGGAACTATGATCTTTTTCTCGTTCAATATGATGCTGTCACGTTGGAGAAGTAACATTTCTAATGCAAGGAATTAGTTGAGATTCTGTTCTTTCATGTGATGAATCCCATGATTGGTCAGTTGATCTTCGTCTATCTCTTGATCATTCATGTCCCCTACAAGCACCATGTAGATTCATTTTGTTGTGGTTAACAGCTCCTTTAGCAACACGTGAGGGAGTGCTTGAATGTTTATAAAGTTTACAAAGTTTATAAAGTTTAACTTTATAAAGTTTATAAAGGTCTACTATGCAATTTCCTATCCCAATTCTCTGGATCACTGGAGTTACTGTCATAAAGATGAGGTCGTCCTGCCATCCGACTTCAAGCTTCCTCACACTACTGCTCTGAAAGCAGACATGTAGCACCCATAACCTGAATACTCACATTTAATTCTGTATAAACTACATGAGGCCCTCCCGTTGATCGTCGATTTGCTCGAGCGGGCCCAGTAACGTCTCCATTGGAGACTTTGTTGTTACTGTGTCTGGCATATCGAATACTCTCGGTAGCTTGCCGGGCTCTCCGAGAGGGGCGGAGGAATCGAACTCGGGTCGGCCATGTTGGCCGCTTGTAAGGCAAACGCCCTACTGCTGGGCTGGAGTGATAGCACAGCGGGTAGGGCGTCTGCCTTGCACGCAGCCAACATGGCCGACCCGAGTTCGATTCCTCCGCTCCTCTCGGAGAGCCCGGCAAGCTACTGAGAGTATTCGATATGCCAGACACAGTAACAACAAAGTCTCCAATGGAGACGTTACTGGGCCCGCTCGAGCAAATCGATGATCAACGGGAGGGCCTTTACTTTACCTTTAAACTACATGAAGGCCTTCAGGAAAAGCCTACAGGAAGGAGGAATTTCTGCAGGGTCAGAATCTTGAGGGATTTCATGAGTCTCTCTCCTTAAGGAAAAAAAGAGATTGTACCACCCTGTAAAGCCTGTTGAATGTCCACCGAAGATTTATGCAGCGGCCAGTGCCAGTGACACCTCCGCTCCTGCCCACTGGTTCCCTTTGGAGGTGACTATTATTATTATTATTATTATTATTATTATTAAATTATTATTTTTATTATTTTTGCTATTATTTTTGCACAAAACATTTTCACTTATTTTTATGCAGTATATATTTGTCATTCTTTAATCTTCAGCTTCTAAATTTTATCTAAGCTATAAACGGCACCCATCAATAATTCAATGGATGTTCTGCACACCTTTCTTTTTCCCATTTAGAGCAAACAAAATATTTAAGTTAGACAAAATATTAGATTTTGTGTAACCTGTACACACCCTACTAGTAATTATTATATGAAAGAAATTATATCTGTCTTATATTTCCGGTAAATAACTTATATTTTATAAATATGCAGGTGTATCATTAGCCCTTTACAACTTTATTGCTTAGTTAACCCTATTTGACCTATGTTTAAATTACCTTCTTGTATGAAGTAATAATTAAAATCTACACAAACTGGCATACACTGGCAAAGAGCATGTTTTGTGCGTAAAATATTATCTTTCGAGAATGTAGGGAAAGTGATAGATTAAGTGTATAGTCCCAGAGAGAATGACAACTCTCATTAAACCAAGATTAAAAGGAACTAAGGATCATAGTAGAAGTTAATGCTATACCTGCATATCTAGTCCAAAGTGCTATTACATTTAGTCAAGACATTTGTTTATCTATTGCCTAAAGTACTTGTTCAGCCACACATAGGCAGTACAGACTGTATATGTGGAATACACACTACATTATAAATACATATGTAAGAGTATTTGTATGTGTGTGAGAGAGAGTGTGTATATAATCTGTACTTTCCTGTACTAGATGTAGAAAGGAGACCCAGTTTGGGCCATATACTAAGAATAAAAGAAAGTCAACACAGCTGATGCCATGTTGACTCACCAACCGGCCCTGCTCTACCTCATGATTAAATCTCTGAGGAGATTCATGTAAAGAGGCTAAAATTCATGAAAAAAACTATTCCCTATGACTGAAAACTCTGGGGTGCTCTCAAGAGGTGAGTGGTCCAAGTACCCGTATTACCAATGCCCTGGCAGCCACAGCCACACCCCACCACTGCAGTCATGCCAAGGCTCAACTTCACCAATTCACTAATATTCTCTCTGCAGTGACACTAAACTGCAAATAATTTCTGGTAACCCGATGCCCAGCTTTAGAACTCTGGTGTCATTTTGGAGCAAGGTGGGCAACCTCCCCTTATGCTTCCATACTTCCAGAATCCAGAAGCCATGCCAACCTCCCATATCCATAATCATTTCAACTCATTGGTCCAGATCATATATCCCAAAAGTTCTGGACCGTGTTGCTGTCACGTGACACTTCCTAATTTCTCAATACGGAAATTCCAGTAGGAGCACACCTAATTAGATGTGAAAGTGACATAGAAGCCAATTACAACAAAAACAAAATCAAGGACACAGAAATTTCAACTAACAACAAACAACATAATACGTTCTTATACAAGGATTTAACACCTGATGATAATATATAACAATTTTCACATAAAAGTTATTTTATACTTATTGATTTTAATAGTATAGCTTTGTTATATAATATTTAACTCTAGAATTATATCAATATTTATGGATTTTGTCTATATTAAAATTAATTTAAAATTTAAAAAATGAAATAAGAAATTGCAGTGATGACAGTAAATGTCTTATTCATTAATAAAATAATACATAAGTCTGTTTCATAATTTGTTGATACAAGAACAAAAATGTGTCAGCTATCAATTATTTTCCCCTCAACATTGTGGGACTAATATAAGAATAGAATAGAACCTTAAAGTTTAATATTATCATTTGAATTATATGCACATATACCCTTTTCATACTATAGTAAACGGTTTTATTTTTTTCACCTAAAAACTGATTTTAAAAAAAACACTATAGACATCCACTCCCCAAACTTTCCCCATGACAGAAAAATATTTGTATTAAAAGACATATTTCAATGTGTAAATCTTTATGGGAGTAAGACATGAAGAAAAATATCAAAACTGAAAAAGGAATTCAGTTGCTAAAGGAGCTTAATATGTATACAACAATTTTCTCCCTGGACATGGTAAAGCATTTGTAGATTCAGAGTTGAAGCTTCAGCATGTGTTTTATAAAAGATTTTTTAAAAAAAGATTTAAATGTTTGTCTAGCATTATATTCTTTTACCTTTTAGAATAATAGTAATTTTTTCTTCAAATTAGATTAAAATGTAAACATTACAAGTTATAACAATTAATATTTTAGTTCATCAACATTCTCATTTGGGCACTGAAGTTTTTACTTGTCATTCAAATTGTTTGCTCTTGTATAAATATCAATACGATATTGTGGTTTGAATTGTGTCACTAGAGAGCTATGTATCTAATCCTTGGTACCTGTAAATGTGATTTTATTTGTAAATATTTTTTACATAGCCAATATGCAATATTATATCATACCAAATTAAGCTGGCTTAAAAGGTGTCTTTATAATAAAAATGAATTCAAAATGAGAAACCAATGACAAAGAAAATATGCCCTAACTAAAGATAAAGTGCTAAACCTGTAAGTCAAAAGACACAAAAGATTGCTGGAAACTACCAGAAGCTCTGAGTAAGACATGAAGTCAATTCTTTAAAAATTTCAGAAGTAACTAACGTTGCTGACACCTTGATTTCAAAGTTCTTTCTGAATCTATGAAATAATAATAATATATGTTGCTATAAGCCATCCAGTTTATGGCGCTTTGTACTACAGACCTTGAAAGCAAGTGCCTAAGGTCAGAATCAAAGTGGATATGACATAGTAAAAGACAATCACTGTATCTATATATGATGCATCTATATAGCATTCACTACTGTATTCTTGAGGCAAATATTCAGAGAAATAATGTAAGAATTTTAAACTCAGTCAATTCACTATGTATCTTTTTCTATTTAACATAGATGCTGAGTTTTCTCTCTTAGACAAGGGGAAATTCTTGTCTACCAAGAGTAGAGAGACAGTTAATATGTTTGAATGTTGCCTTTTACTGATAGAAATAGTACAATTAATGCAATGAGAACTTTTTCAAGTGTTAAAGAATATCAGAAAAATCATTAAAATTCCCTATTGAGAAGTAAAAATATGCAAAGCAATGAAAATAAATGTTTTACTATTTTGCATCCCTTCAAATATAGACTACTAATTCTGGATTTAACAGATGACTTGATTTATGGATTTGAGAGGTAAATGAGCCAGAACGTTCCTAGAGAGCGGGAAGAATATGGTGGGAAATGCATGATTTTCCATATTTTTGCTTTAATTGTACTAATCTTATAATACAAAGGCTACTAGTATTTAGGGTTTCAGTGTTTCTTTGTAATTTAAATTGCTAGCAATGTTCAAAAATTCCAAGAGAATATGCCAGACTTGACCACAGAAAGAAACTAATGAAAGCAAAATCATTAGCTACTAAAGAGAAACATTTTAAGTTAAGATTTTTCCTGTACCATAAAACATCTTTCATAAGTTATTTTTGTCGTGAAGACAAAATTTTTAAATGACACTAACTAAATTTATTCTTAAAAGAAGAAAGAGTGAATTTAGTCAAAGTCTTTAGTTCAGATTGATGTGATTTAAACTTGTAAAGAATTTAAAGATGGTAGTTAGCCCCAGGAATCTAGATATTATTAAGTCAATTTTCTCAAGGACAAAAAGTAAATGTGTATATATCACTGACCATGGAACAAATGATTATGGGGTTCTTTAATGCAGCAATTCACATGAAAAATGTTTGCAGAGTTAGCTGACCACAAATTTAAAATTGGCCAACAGTGTAATATGGCTGCTGAATAAGCTCACATAATATCAAACTATATTTTCAATAGTAATAGTATCTTCTATGAATGTAGTGTTTTTCATTGTGAAAAGTGCTTCCATACAGATTATATTGTTTTGCATAATGACTATATTTCAAGCAGTCTTACCACTTACATGAGTCAGTCCACGTTAGTATTATCTTATATTTTAAAAAGCAAACTAAGAGAATTTCGTAGAAAACTTGTAAAATTCACAAAAATAGCCCAGTTTCACAATGAAACTCATCAAGCCAGTAAGCCACCAAATCATTCCAGCTCCATAAATCCTGCAGTGTATGGCCACATCCAACTTTCATAGTACTGTAAGACCAGTAGAACCACAGCAAATCTGATGGGAAAGTAGCATAGAAGACCGCCAAACTCAATGAGCAATAACAGTAACACGAAAAGTTCATCTAGCGAGCGAGCGAGAGAGAGAGAGAGAGAGAGAGATAGAGAGAGAGAGAGAGAGAGAGAAGAAAAGCGCCTGCAATAGAGGCAGGCATGGGGTGGCGTGGGGGTGATTCGAGGACCCGGGGACACTGGTGTTAGGAAGTGCACACTGGTGGAGGGATGGGTGCTGTAATACTGTGTGACTGAAAGCTGATAATAAACAGCTGTGTAAGGGTCTATCTCACAGTGATTCAATAAAAAAGTTTTTTTTTAAGTTTTAAAAAAGAAAGTTCAACTAGCACCAACCAGCCCAGTAAATTCTAAGAAAAAGACTTTAATAAAATCATTGTAAGATATAACAATGATCACAAATTGATTTTTATTACTTGACTTTTAGATAATTCTATTTGCTTTGTGGTGTAGCAAGCAATATGAAGTAAACTAATTTGTGCCTGCTAAAGGAGAAGGCTTGGGTGGGAAACTGTGGGAATTGGTTGGAGATATTGTCCCACTGATTGTAGGACTTGGGTTGGAGCACTGAATTCCTGAAACAACTCTATGATTTATAACTTGGTAAGTCATGGTGTTAAAATATAAATTAAAATTTTTAAATTTTAAAAGAATTATTTAAAAATATATATACCCTATGGAATTTAAGATGCTGGAATAATCTATACATTACCCAATGGCTAAATGGAATAAAATATAATTATGCCTTTTACTAAAAGGATATTATAACTCAGCAGAAAAAGAATTT